GAGGAACTGTATGAAAGGGCTGCGGCATGAGGAAGGTTGAGAACCACTGACCTAGGGGCTATCCGTTTACAACCTGCATCAGGCTGCTCCCGGAGCGGTGTTCATGTGGTGACTAGTTTCTTGAAGGGCCGGGGCTCCGCTGAGGGCTCCGCTGCTGCTGCGGTGACCTGCTGTTCATCCCGTTCCAACTCCGAGCCTCGTGTGCAACAGAACGAAGCCGTGCCCGCTCCAGCGCCACCCTCACAGGGGTCACAGTTGAGCCCACGGATGCAGCCACTGTGTCATTCCCTCTCCCTGACGATCATCCCTCTGCTGGGCCACGCAGGATGCCCTGGTCCAGAACCAGGTCTCTCCTGATAACCTGTCCAAAGAGGGGAACACCTGCCTCTCATCCTGGCCTCGAAGGAGCATTCTGGCTGGACTTCCTCCGAGACAGGCTGCCTTGTGCATCCGGTGGTCCCCGGCCCTGTCAAGAGTCTTCACCCGCACCGTCATTCCCACGCGCCAATTCTTCTCGGGGCTTCCTTAGTCCAGGTCCGGCTCCACGTGCCGGGGAGGCGAGGGCAGACACCATGGCTTGGTCCTCAGAGTGACGGCCTTGCTCTTCGATGTGCGACAGAGGTCTTCTGCAACGGCGGCCTGGCCCGAGGCGATGCGTCTGTTTGGTTTCTTGATTGCTTTCATGGGCATGGATTTACACAGACCCACTCGCCTTAACTCCTACCATGATGTGCGGAGGTGGACAGGTGTTAGGGCCCATTTTACAGAGGAGGATGATAAAGTCGCCTCCCTAAATCAATTAAGGCGAGGAGGCAACACAGGCAGTAGCTACACCCAGGCCGCCTGGCTCAAAGAGTCAACATCCTCCTTTGATCAGCTGGGCTGAGGGAAGGAAGGCAGGCCGACCCCTTCCAGGGAGGAAGGAGGCCCCCAGGTAGCGTTGCCTGGAGTCTTAGCCTGATACACAAGGCCATCAAGTCTAGCTCCGAGCGGCCCTATGAGACGGAGTAGAGCTGTCTCATGGGGTCTCCCAGGCCACGTCGTTCTCCTGTGGGACAGCTAGCTGGTGGACTCAAACCACCGACCTTTCGCTTAGCAGCTGGGTGCTTAACCACTGTGCCACCAGGGTGCCTCTTAGCATCACAGTGACCACCATACCCTGCTTCTCATTTAAGAAAGAAAGAAAGAAAGTCCTCCCAACAGGCCTGTGAGGGTAGGAAGTGGAGCAAATGGTTTGGGGACTTGCTGAGGTCCCCAGTACAAAACTGATATCTTGAGTCAAAACGCTGCTTGTGGACCCCACACATCTTCGGGTGACCGTGGAGGGTCAGTTCGGGCTCTCTGATGGTAAGCCAACCCAGAGGGTTCTGGCTGTGTCCACCCCCCCTGCCACGGTGGCCCAGAGTCCCTGGAACTGTCCGAAGCCATCCACTGCCTGACCACAAGGAACTAATTAGCTTAATTACCCCTCTCGGATCCGGTTCGCCCAGTGCTCCAGGGCAGGACTTTCTAGATTTGCCACTCAGTGACTGTGACCACAGGGCCTGACACAGGGCACCCCCCTCACCCCTCCCGGATGCCAGGTGCTGACATCCCGCTGGAGGTGAGGCAGGATCAAGGCTGCAGCACGGGTCGGCTTCCCTGCAGTTTGCAAGGTTTCTGTCTGAGACAGGGTGCAGCCTGACCACAGACTCCATTTCTGAGTTTGCCTTCTCCACAGGTTTCCACCTGACATGGGTTCCGGCTTTTGCAAGTCTTACTGTGTTTGTTAAAGGGGTTGGATGGAAGAATGGACGGATGGAGACGGACAGATGAGTGAAGGAATGACTGAGTGACTGAACGAATGAGGCAGACAGGAACTCAGAGCTCCAACCCTGAGCCCAGGGGCAGTCAGGGTCATCTCAGTCTTCCGGGGCAAATCCAGGGGTTTCTTTTCTCCGAATGGCTCTGCCTCACACAACCCAACATCATCTCGTTTGTTCTTAACCTTTTTCTCTGACTTAAGTATTTACCGGAGACATTCGCTGGCCAAAGCAGAAAGTACCGAAAATACCAAGACAGATGAAGGCGTCATCGGTAAGGTTCGTGACCCGGAAACAGTTCCTATTGGTGTTTTGATACTTAGCGGT